AATGTAATAATATTGTTATTATTAATTATAATAATAATTATTAGTAGTAATGTAAGAAGCTGCTCAGAGCACATGTTAGTCAGTTCTCAGCAGCAGCAATGTCTTTCTCTAGCAAGGTGATGCATAGATCATCAGTGGGAATCCTAGTTTTCTCTGTTCAGAAATTACAAATTTGCTGATAAAAACCCCGAAATTTGTTTTTCCATCATTTAAAATGAAACACCACTATGTAGGTATCAGTTAAACACAGTGTTTTATTGATATATTTACATTTTAAAGCAAGTTGGATGCCTACCAGTGCCTCAGTCACTATAATGAAATAAATTCTAAAGGCCTATACATTTTGGCATTTGATTTTGGGTTTTGGAAAATCAGAGCTCCCCCACCCCCTTCACCCACCAAGATGTGGGTTCAGCTGCGGCTATTCTCCCCCATTGCTTTGTGGCAATGAGCAGCCCTGATATGCTGATGCCTTGCCCATGCTATTGCTTCTCACTTCCAAGCCACAGCCCCCCAGCCCTGCTGGTGCTCCTCATTCCCGGCCCACAACCCCCTGGCCTTGCTGGTGCTTTTCATTCTCCACCCAGAGCCCCCCTCCCCCAGCCCTGCCAGAGCAGGGCCCCAGCTGCCAGGGCTGTGCGGCGTGGGACTTGGGTCCACAGCCCCCTGCCCCCACCAACAGCACCTGAGCCCTAGCTATTACCTGTCGGTGGCTGCTGTAGCCAGAGCAGAATGCAGAGCCTGGCTTCCCCCGCCCCTCCCCCCAGCTCCCCCACTGGGTGGCACAGCTGGAGCAGAGCCTGTGGGGGTTAGTGGATACGGGCTGCTCGCTGTGGGCTTGGGGCTTCCCACCCTGCTGTCCTCCCCTAAGGGGCCACTGCGGCCCAGTGGACAGGACCCGGCACAGCGGGGCAGGACGGGAAGGCTCTGTGCTGCCGCCTGGAGCCCTGCACCCACATGGTGAGGCACCACCTGGCAGCTTTGGAGGTGGTGGCAAGGAGTTGTTCCCTCTGTTGCTGCTGAGTGGGCAGTGGGCGCTGCACTGTGGCGGTGTGGGGCTTCTGGCAGCAGGAAGCTTCCCTGCTCCGCTCTGCTGTGCCAGGTCCTGCCTGCTGGGCTCTGAAAGCCCCCAAGGGGAAGGCAGCAGGGCGGGGAGCCCTGAACCTGCAGCTGTCAGCCCGTATCCACCCCCCCTCAGGCTCTGCTCCAGCCATGCCGCCTGTGGGCAAGGGGCAGCCAGCTTCTGTGCTCTGCTTCAGCTGGAGCACCTGCCGCCTCCCACAGGCAGCAGCCAGGGCTTGGGTGCTGCTGCAAGGGCAGGGGACTGCAGATCTTGGTCCCTGGCCTGCATCTGCCCCCACCCCATGCACAGATCTGTGGAGCACATGTCCCCCATGCCCTCTTAGGGGTGTGTGCAGTGGTGGGGAGCTGGCCCCCCTGAAACCTCCGCCCTAGCTGAGCTGCCCACAGCTCTGTCCTCCTCCCCATGCAGGTACTGCTGCCTGGCCCCAGGCCCCATGTACTGCCCCAGCTGGACAAAACCCCTAGCCTCAGCCCTACCCAACTCCCTCCCTCACTATGGGAGCCTCAGTCCCCTCTCACTCTGTACCCAGACATACCTATGGGGAGTTGCAGGTGGTGTTCTCCATGCTGCCTGGCTGCCACTTGCGTGTGTGAATGCGCACATGCAAGTGATGACTTCTGCCTGATCACCTTCTGCTCTGCTGTCCTGTCCCCCCGCCCCCCCCCCCCCCCCCCAGCCCCTTGCAAGCTGGAACTCTGCGAGCTTGCAAGGGGAAACCTGCCATTTCCTGTGTTTTTCTCCTTTAAAGGAGAAAATCTGCATTTTTCTTCATTTTTCCATGGCAAATGGAAAACCAGGATCCCTGACCATCAGCATATGTGAAGCTCCTTGTATTTGTCTGTATGTGTTGATCATTGGTATGTATGTTAAAAAGGATTGGTGCTAGTACGCTATACTGTGGGAGGCTGTTTTCCTGTCATCTCCAGCAGCACTGTTTCTTGCACAGTTCTACATAAAAACATCTAGTCTCCAAAGAGATTGGATGAGCTACACTAGGTGGTAGTCATGTATTATATCACAGATTTTGGCATGCAAGTTTCAGTGGTTGATTGTGCCATATGCCTCTGATAGGGATAATAACAGGTGCTGGTTTTTTACACCTATCTCAAATCCATCTTTGCATGCTGGGTAATATGTAGAATTTGGCCAGTACAGGACTTGCCTGATATAAATCTGGTTTGTTCTGGTGTTAGATGTCATGCAATATGAGGTGAAAGGTGATTGGGAATAAGGCATTCATAAAGCTGATAAAGATAGCACATAGGTAACACTGGCCTCAAGTTCTCTCAGCCGGAGGCATCCTTCCTTGCCTTTAATAGAACTATTATACGGCCTTGTCCCCATAGTTTAGGTATTCTAAGGGTTGATGAACAATAGTTAAAAGGTGTAATACCTGTAACTTGGTTATGGGACCAAAGTGCTTGATCTGCTCCACGCGTATGTCATAGAATCCAGCTGCTTTGCCATTCTTCAAGTGTCTTATTTTGGCATCAAATTCATCCATTGTGTATGGCATGCTAAATTGATTTTCCTTCAGATCAGTTTGCAATTGAATCCGTATTTTAGCCTGTTTGTTTGAAACTTTATCGTTGACTAGAAGCTGATGAGCCACCTGGTTGACTTTGGGTCATTACTCAGCTTGTGAATAGTTAACCACACTTTCCTGCTAGTGTGGCTCATATCTATTCCTTTGATCAATTCTTTCCATTTCTCTCTCCTTTCTTCTTAGAACTTGTTAGTTTGGACTTCCCCTGCCACAGTACTGTCTTCTGAGAAAAGGATATATTTTGAAACACTTGTATTTGGTGGCTAGCATGGAAGTAAACCCTGATATATACTATGGATGTAAATATCATTAAAAAAATTATCCATTTAACCTCTTCTAATTATATCGGTTAAACAGTTAACCAGTAACATAGCAGCTTGGACATAGCTGGTGCTGGGAGCCCCTCCCAGAGCCCTTTGGCAGGATGGGTGGGGAGGAGGTGATGACAAGTCCAGCCAGACAATACAGCCCATGGAAAACCCCTCCTCACCAACCTGGGAGTGAGGGAGCACCTGTGAATGAGCAGCTAACTGCTTAATTGAGGAGTCATTAGGCCACCTGCTGTTTTCCTCTTTAGCCTCAGGCTACTGGTCCTCATTGCCCCTCTCCTCTTCCTCTCGTCTTCCCTTCCTCCCTCTTGCCTGCCCTGCCATCTTCTGGTTCCTGCTGGGGCACTGTGTGGTTTCCCTTCCCTTCTCCCCCGTTCCCTGCCATACTGTATCCCGCCCTGCACTAAATGATAACTGGTAAGCTAAACAGTTATCACTGGTCTTATTGGTTAAATCAGTGGTTGTCAACCAGGGGTACGCATATCCCTAGGGGTATTTAAAAAGGTCGTAGGGGGTATGCAGAACTAATATGGCTGATAAATGCCACCTGCAGATGCAGCACAGCATGCAGGCAGCCAGGAGAGAGCAGCCGGGTCTGGCTGGTAAGTGTGCTGTGAGGGAGGGCCCTGTGGTGGGGAAAGGGGCAGGGGCTGCCCAGCCAAGGCAGGGCGTGAGACTGAGTCGCTGCACACACCTGGAGAGGCATGGGGGGGCATATGACCCCAGATCTGTGCGTGGGGCCGGGTAGGCTGCCACTGGCCTGGGGCCAGGGCTGTTCTGGGCTCTTCCCGGTGGGGGTTTGTGCAGCACCTGCCCCAGCCCCACTCCCTCCCTTATCATGGGGGCCTCAATCTGCCTTCTCCCCTCCCCTCCTTAAAAACAAGAAAAAAATATAAAGGGGTGTATGAGCTGAAACTTTGAGAGAGAAGGGGTACATCTGTTGAAAAAGGTTGAAGCCCCCTGGGTTCAATGATTAGTCATTTATCCTTTCACATCCCTATTATATACTCAGTTTTGCATCCTCAAGGTGTATATACCCATTGGAGGTTTTACACAGTGCATTCACAAAGAGGTGGTAGTTAACCAAGACTAGTTTGATGTGGGCCATTTTGTCAAGTTCTTCAGAAAAGCCTCTCCAGTCTGCTTTCTTAAAACTGAAGCATCTACACATTGATACCATGTTCAGAGTTATGGCTGTTGTGACATTGATAGCAATTCAGTTGGTCTGTGCTGTGTGTGGAATGGGTTCCAGTACATCTTTTTTGCACATAACTTCTATATTGCTGTCAACAAAGACGAGGTCTGAATTATAGTTTCATTTCCATCAGGAGCTAGTCAAAGACCTAGGTAGCCTTGAGTCATAGACCAGGCTTAGGTGGTATGCCTTGGCCCATATCTTGAACAAGTTGCCATTCTCATCATTTTCACTGTAACCCCATGTAATGTACTACTAAAATACTGCTGCAGGAGGCAGAAGTTCAAAGAAAAACTAATTTTGGGAGCTTTGAAGAGGACACTGATCCACTTTTAAATGGAAGCTTCCTTTAGAGAACCGAACTGGGAGGTATAGGTTAAGGCTTCTTAATTCAGTTTAATAAAATGCAAAATTGAGCAGAGGTGAAGACTAACATTTCATGGTTTCATTCAGCAGTGCTGTTGAGGATGTGATATTCAAAATATAAGAACATTCCTTCAGTGCTCCACCTCCAAAGATATATAATTTATTTAGTCTATATGAAAGGTTGAATAGATGGATTGCTGTCTGATGGCTTATATTATCACAGTACCTGTTGTTATCTCACATGAACTGTTTACAGTTAGTTTTTTTATGCACATGGTTGTGTGCTTAGATATCATTTGTATATGTATGTAGCTTTTAAGGAGGCAAAAGCTTTTCAGAAGCCTGTGCAGGGGGAGTAAAGCAAAAAGATCTGGCCAGTTACTGTATAAAGCCAAGTGCCAATCAGACGCTGTGTTATATTTATTCCATTATTTTTAAGTTTTTATGTGCAATTTATCTTTTTTTTTTTTTGTATTTTAGCAAAGATTTGTCCTGAAGAAATAACCCCACTTTTGCCAGCTGTCTCTGGTGAAAAGATTGCTGAGGATCAGACCTGCTATTTTCTTCAGCTGTTGTTAAAGTATATGGTAATCCAGGTACGAAAGGAATCATGTTGTCAACTCTATATCTCTGTAGGAATTACTTGTAGGAATTTGTTTCCCTTGTATCTACATATACTGTATCCTTCAGAAAAGGGGAGTCTGTTATCATTCTTTATTCATTTTTTTTAAAACACATCAAACATTTTGGCTTTTGCATTTGCATTGAAGCTGTTTTTATTTTATGTTACAAGCCTGAAAAACTCATAAGGGGTGATATAATAGAAACAAAATATAATTCTGCATTGCCTCAATATATTATAGCTCTCACAAAGTAAACAGCTTTCACAGATCTCTCCTCACTAGGCTTTAACAACTGACATCAGGAGCTGATGTCAAAGCTTGATTTAATTTTGACTTATTGTGGTAGATGCACCCAACATGTCTTGAGGCAATAATAAAATAATCCCTCATTCAATTATCAGTGTTGTTAGGATGGTAACAGAAGGTGGTCCACACATTTCAGTCAAATGCTTTAAATAGAGCTCTTCAAATGTCTATTACTCTTCACATCTTAGAAAGAGGTAGTTAGCTGTGTTAGTCTGAGGTCAGACCTCTACTCTGCCTTCTTCACATTTTAGAATTCTGCAGATAATGTATTTTACATGTATCTTTTGGGTAAGGAAAGTCATCCTGTATTTTTAAATCAGAATAAAGTCATGTTGTATATGAAATGCATTGAAAATAAGCCACATCATTGAGTTTGTTTGCCACATTTTCATTCCATACACTTCTGTTTTAACAAAATATAGATGGTATAGCAAAGGCAGATCTGCAAGGAGTGCAGCAGCGTGGTCACAACCCCCTTTTGGCTGTGTGCTGGAGGCTCAGTGAGCTCTCTGAGCTCACCGGTGAGTAAGGGCAGCTCCTGCTGGGAGCTCTGAGCTCACCAGCTGATTGATCCATGCCCTGGCTGGACCCCCTACTTTTATGTAGCTCCAGAGATTGGGAGAAAGTGCTTCTGCTGTTCAACTCTCTGCCCCATTCATCTACCCTCCCCTCTGCTCACCTGGCTGAATTCAGCAGCAGGGCAAAAGAACGGACACAAGTGGTGGCACTCACCCCCTGGGCTCCCGAGCTGGATGAAAGTAGGCACTCTGGCTAGATCCTGTGCTGACCAGCTGGTGAGCTCTGTGAGCTCACTGGCATCCAGTATTGTGGTGAGGGGCATGTAGCCTCACCACTTGCAGGAGTGAGCTCTCTTCACTGTGCATGCCTAAGGAGTTTAGCTACATACTTTGTTGTAGGCCTGGATTTGCCTATGTGGTAACTGTCAATAGCATCCATGCCTGAGAATTTTTTTCTTTTCTTAAATAGTTGCTATATCAGTATTTGAGAGTGAAGCTGACCTTGACATGGACCTTTTTAAGTGGACCTTTTATAAACTGGAACCTGTTTTGTATACATATGGACCTCTTATATTTTAGATTTCGTTATCATAGCTTGACTTCATCCTAATGACATGGTGTCCTCAGGAGTTATTGTGACAGATAGGAGGATTTTTTTGCTCTGTGGATGAGGGACATATTGCTAATCCAGAAGGCAGTGTCAAGCCATCAACTCATATAGTGGTATCCTTCCTACCTGTGCTACTATGTCTGAACTTGGAATAAGATAAGGAAGCAGCATGGATGTGACAGCAGCAGTATTGGACAGTGGAATTTGGGGAAGATGGCATGTAGCCCAGAGCCTCAAGACTGAAGATTGTCTCATGAATAATGGCTGTTTGGCATAATAAAGATTTGAGAAAATAAGAAACTTTCCATTTGAATAAGACAAGGGCAAAGGAAAGTAAAAACAGAAATAACAGTGGTTGCTAAACTTGAGATTTCCATTATCCTTCAAAAAACTAAATGTATGCATAAAAAGGCATTTTGTGGCCTTTTTGTTTAATCCCTCTAAGGCCACGATTCACAAAAGGACTTTGGAATGTGAGAAAATAGATTCTCAATAGATTCTCTAAATTTTCATCAGTAAAGTTCCTTAGGCACATTAGCCTAGAACCTTTTCTACCTATTAGGTTCCCAGATAGACTGACATACCCAAATGTGATACTGTTCACCTTGCTTGAGTCCCTGAAAAACAGTTAATGCAAAAGGGTTCATAGGTTTTCCTTGAACTTGCTGCTATTTGTGGTTTTTATCTTGAGGCTGAGGTGACAGCTTGTTATAAAAGTAGGCATGTTAATTTTTCAGGGACTTCAGCAGTGGCAACAGCAGTGTCTATTTTCTTTCTCTAGCCATGATTTTGAAGGAATAAGTGACATTCTCACCCAATAAAATAGCCTAGTGGTTAGGGTACTCTTCCAGTATGTGGGAAACTTAATTTCAGTCCTCTCCACTGCCTCTGTATCAAATCTAGAGTAGAGGCCTTGCCTGAATGAGTTTTGCTGTCAAGCAAAAAATAATTTAAAATCCATTGGGCCACAGTAGGGGAGAACAAGAGTGATTGTTATTGTAGCCCCTTATTTAGGGCACTCCCCTGAAAAGAGTGCAATTAGTTTCATAAAAAATGCATCATTCCTTCAGAGAGAGGAAAGAGTTGAATCTGGGTTTCACTCCTTCCTGGGCGAGTGTTCTTATTATGCTGTTGAATAGAAAAGCACTAGTTCTTTTAGCAAGGTTTCAAAACAAAGCACCATTTTTAACACAAAGGTCTTTAGGCATTTTACTTTGGTAGAAGGTTTTGGGCTGTGAATCCAGAGCAGAAATGCACACTAGCCCTGGAGAAGGGTGGTGTTTGGGATATTTTCTTGTCATCAGCATTTCCTGTTGACTAACTTGGGTGGCTCTTTGCTCAGCATGCTGACTCTAGTAGATCTGATTCTAAGGAGCTTATCTGTTTCCATGCATTGTTTAAGAACCCTCTGTTTCTAACTTAGAACTGAATTATGCTCTGGGATGCTTTAGGAATACCACTCCCCTTTCACTTTTATGAACCATCTTGTATTATTTGCATACTTGCTAGGGATATACCACTTGGCATCTAATTAAAATCCTTTTAACATTCAAAGTACTATTTGACCATCCCTATCCTTTTGAATTTGAATGTATCCTTATCTGGCAAGATTTATTTTTAAAATAACATGGGGATCTGTGAGGAGCAGCCAGATGATCTTATGGGGAGAACAACATTTCGTTATCCTTAAAAAAAATGATGACTGTATACACTCTTTTTAAAGCAATCCATAGTGTGGGACACTTTTCACTAAAATTAAGGGTTTAAAATGCCCTGTTTGGATTATCTAAACTTTTAGTTATGCATCAATGAGAGATTCAATGAATGGCTTATAAAGCCTCTGCTATGTTTGTCTTCTGTTTATTTGTCCATTTGCTTATGTAGTTACCTGGTGTATCTACATAGTTATACACACAGTTGAAGTAACTACCTGTGTAGATTTGGCATATACTGTTAATTACATCTCTAAATCAGCATCCGACTGAGATGAGCACATTTTCTTATTTCAGGCTGGCCCAGAAGATGCAAAAACAGTTCTCTATAGGCACCTTTATCTGTCAGCCAAGTAGGATACAGCCTATATGCTGGGTATTTTAAATCCCTGATACGTAAAATAAATGTGGAGAGCAAAAGGAAAGGACTACTTGGTTTCATCAAGATTATATAGTGTGCTTGGGTTTGCATATAGAATATTAGCTAGTGGATCTAGGTATAGAATAGAGAAGAAGTAGGAATTGAGAATGTCTTAGTTCTATTTTTTTTATTTAAATACTATTTTACATCCTGTTACAAAGCCTCAGAAGCAATGTTGTGCATATTTTTCAATCAGGAAAGAGGGATATTGAATAAAGAGGATAATAAAAATACAAATAGTGAGAAAAAACAAAATGTAAGTCAAATCAAAAGGGAGATACTCAAAAGCAATGCTGATAGAAGGAAGAAATGTATATGCCTTAAATGGTAAAGAACTCTAACAGTACAAAAAGAAAGGTAGTATAAGAATGATATTGTAGCTGTGATGGTCCACAAATTATGCAAGAGGAAAGGATTTCTTAGTCGGTCCAATAAAATATATCACCATAAGAAAGGGGGTGATGACAAAAGTAAAAAACAGTAGAATTAGTATTTTTTTACATTTTAGGAAAGTTGTGACAGCAACTTGATAAATAGTTTGAAGTATTTTTGTCACCTTGCATGTAAAAAATGGCACCCTCCTACTGAACAGAATTTCTATTTTTATAAATTCAGACTTTTTTCAGGTGTCAGTGCAAAAATATTTTGCATTTTTTTTAAATTATCTTAGTTCTGCCAAATCTAAATCATAAGATGAAGTGCTCTGTACTTTTTACTCTTGTTTTGGTTTATCATTGTTTATATTTGAAGAAAATGGTGTGGACCATTAGAGTTAAAGATCCAGCTTGGCTGGCAAAACTCTTTTTGTTGGGGGTAATAGGAAAAATAAAAAGTGGTCAGTTTGAGTAAACAATCAATGCTCAAAGCTGGCATCTCGGCTAGAGACAGACTTTCAAAAAACCTGAGCTTGAATTGATTCAATCTTTGCAAGTTAGTCTAACCTGACTAGGCTGAACTGGTTTGAAACTGCACAGACATTCTCTCTGGACTGAGGAAGTTCAGGCACATGCCTGCAGTGGCTCAGGCTAGAAGCTGGGGGGTGTGAGAGCAGTCCTCCCTTCCCTTCTGCAGGGAGCTGAGCTGAGGGGGACGTGGCCAGACTCTCTCATTAGGGATGTCTGCCTGCACGGTTGTAGGCTTTTCCCCGTTGGCTGCTCAAGGGGCGGGAGTGTTGCCAGCCCCCAGCCCCAGGCTAGCACTGAGGCAAGGTGGGGCGGGGGGGGGTGCAGTGCAACACGTGCAGTGCATGCATGTGTTGATGATTCAGAGCTTTTTACTCTGCCTCCCTGCTTCGTCATACTGTCTGCAGCAAACTGACAGGCGAGCAAGCCAGCTGGGGGGCTGATAGCAGGCTTTATTACCTAATTAACAAAACAATAGCCTTTCTCCACATTACTTCAAACTTT